AATTACATTTATTCGATATTTTAATACTTACTGACGATAGATTACATTTATTCGATATTTTAATACTTATTGACGATAGATTACATTTATTCGATATTTTAATACTTACTGACGCTAGATTACATTTATTCGATATTTTAATACTTACTGACGATAGATTTCATTTATTCGATACTTTTATACTTACTGACGATAGATTACATTTATAAGATATTTTAATACTTACTGACGATAGATTACTTTATTCAATATTTTAATACTTACTGACGATAAATTACTTTATTCGATATTTTAATACTTACCGACGATAAATTACTTTATTCGATATTTTAATACTTACTGACGATAGATTAGAAGAAACATCAGTGTTTGGAGTATTGGGCAAATATATACCGGGCAATGGCACTTGACATTAAAAAAATGTCAGTGTAGGGTATACCGGGCAGTGGCACTGAATTTTAAAAAAACTTCAGTGTAGGATATACCGGGCAGTGGCACTTGACCTTAAAAAAACATCATTGTACGGTATACCGGGCAAATGTATACCGGGCAGTTGCACTGAACCTTAAAAAAAACATCAGTTTAGGGTATACCGGGCAAATGTATAACGAGCAATGGCACTTAACCTTACCGGGTACTTGACCTTGAAAAAAAACATCAGTGTAGGATAGTGCCAGCGACAACAAAGAAAACTTTCATTTCTTTTTTGGTTTAGTAAATAAAAAAAAATATGAAGCATGTGGGCTGTCATAATCATGGAAGCGTAAACGCACATGATTATTAACAAAATCTTTAAAAAAAAAAAAAGCTGAAACTAACTAGACTATAAGTTGGGAAGAATTGAAAGATTAAAAGCGAATTGTTCGTATCAGCAAAGTGTTTTATATTATGTTCTAATTATACTTGTGCAGGGTCAATAATAATAACTTTATTCGTTGTTATTTTTTTATAACCGTCGTTGAACAGCCGAACCAATTTTATGAGTTTACGACTACTAATGTTCAACTCCATAGCCTTGTAATTTTGAACCCAATTCAGAAGACAAGGGAACTTCTGGATCGAGTATTGGGAGAAATTTGCCTTCGTGGAGGACTTTTTGATAGAGCTAACCAGCATTTGCGTTACATGGAGAGGAAGACCACGAGAACCTCCCACAGTTAGCCTGACGGCAAGAGGTATTCGTTGTTATGGTCATTTATTGAAAAATAATCATTAGTCGTGTTGTTATGCTTTTCAAGTATAATCAGAAAAGCGTATTCGAAGAGCAGAAGAACGCGTTGATGACAGTATTGAAGGAAATAACATTGAAAGAATGTGTAGAAAGCGTGATGTCATATATGTATTTTTTTAAGTTATTCTATTACAAGTCGTTCTTTATTTCAATTTAATTCAATTTTTGGTAATTTATTATTAGGAGAAAATTTTGAATTTTTAAATAGGAATTAGTTTTAAAGATTTTAATAATTGACTCAAATTCTTAAGATATAACGCCATAGCACATTTCAAATAGGTTTAACTTGGTATCGAGCACGGTGAGTGAGCATTGCAATCTTTGGTGTTTGGGAAGCGTCAGCATACCATCAGATTACACTATAGTTATTTTAATTTCTTAAACATACATTGTTTTGAACTTTTATGCTGTTTTACAATATAAAAAGTAAACCAAAATGACCTAAGTGCTTTTTAACGCTTTTTTTTAAATTAATTACGATATTAGACACAAACTACTTTTTTAACGCAATAAAGAAATACCGATTTCAAAAATTTTTACACATGTGATTTAGCACTCACCGTTTCTCGACGGATCCTAGAAAATATATCCCAATATATTAACGAAAAGACGTTTTAAAATTTTGTTCCCGAATTTAGGTATTTTTTTTTCTAAAGGAGAATTAAACGATTATTTTTTTACAGTTCTCCCATACATTAAAAAAAAAATTTGTAAATTATTTTCAATTACTTAATTTAATAGTAATCAAAAATTTCGAATTTTGTATAATTTTTATAAAAACAAAAAATTTTATATCATATTTATCAACATAATTTTATGAAACAACAGTGAACATTTGAACGAAATCCATTGAATTGTTTTCGGGAACTATAAAATCAAATCATTAGCTGTCATTAAGTTGGTATAGGTTCTGGAGAAATCAAATTATATTTTTTCCAGACCAATTAATTCTACTTTTAATTATTTATTTACTTTTTCTGCTTTTTACAAAAATTGGCCAAAAGTTATTCACATTTTTGTACATCAATTTTCTTTGACATATATTTTTCTTTTAGACTACCGTTCACCAAATTTGTCAACATTTGTTTAAACTGATTTAAGCAGATTACAAAAATCTTTGCATAAATTAGAGTTATCCTCCCTCCTATCACCTAATAAAAAATTGGCAATAATATTAACCTCTTTATCATAAACTAAGCTCTTCGAAGCAAAATCAAAATATTGTTTGAATTTAAATCAAGCTTCCTTAAAATCCTTCAAGTAGTAAAACTGATACAGAATTTTAAAACGAAAATAAAATTTCTCCTCTACATTAACAAAATTATACATAAAAGAAAAAAATAGGCTCAGAAATGAAACAAATTATGACGAAAATTTCATCCCACTCCGGTTACTCCATTTGTTGCCAGATTCTCTATTCCCGTTCAATTTCATGTCTCCCAAACTCTATCCATTCTTCTTTTTTTATCCGAATTCCCGAAATCTCACTTCAACGTAAAAATCCCAGTTATGCAAATTCAAATCTATCGTTTCATATTATGTCATTACTTTTATTCTATCCGGTAGGATTTGGGAAAAGTTAGATCTTGAGTTAAGAGTGACAGCCGAAGAACCGACTTTTCCAGGATATCTACACCTCACCCCCTTCCTGCAATTTTTCCATTTGGGAAACAACCCCTCTTTCGTTCTATTCCTCCGATTAAAGAATACTTTTACCCGACAGGAGCTGTAATTCATATCATGAAAGATATGTGCGTGTATCCCATCTGGTTGAGAAAGAGGGAATTGTGGGATAGGGAGTTGGTAATTCCTGCGAGATTAGATACGTAACTGAATATCTTTTCTTTCCCGGAGTTGTTGATTTGAAAGTAATTACTTTAATAATACTTTCATATGGAGTTGTGAGATTTTGGGGCTTCTTTTTGAAAATCTTGATGAAACTTGCAATTTTTGTGATGGATCTTCTTCTAATTGAAGTTGCGTGCTTTGCTTTGGTGTGTTACTTAGATTCTGTAGTTATTTGTTCTAAACAAGCATTATAGTTTTTGGTGGAGTTTTTTCGTGATTTTGTTTGTTTTAAAACAACTAAAACAATTTTATTAAAAATTTGATTGAAGAGCATTATTGGTCAAATTTTTTACAACTATTTGTACCTCAATTTTCTTTAAAATCTATTTTTCCTTTGGGCACTCGATTACCAAATTTTAATCCCTTATTTAAACTGATGTCTCTCAATGAGACTTTAAATATCCCTTGCTAAATTAGAGCTATCCTATGTCTTTTCGTCTAATAAAAAATTGGTAATAGCATTGCATAAAATATTTATCCTGAACGAAGTAAAATCAAAATAATTTTGGAAATCAAATGAGGTTCATTTAAAATCCTTCAAGTAATAAAATTATCAAATGCATAAAACAAAAATAAAATGAAATATTTTTCACTTACACTTATAAAATCGTGCATGGAAGAAAATTGAACTGTAATTCGTATAAGGAACGAAATGTGCGTGTATCCCATCTGATTGGGAAAGAGGAATTGTGAGATAGCGAATTGGTAATTCCTGAGAGATTAGATACGTAACTGAATATCTTTTCTTTTCCAGAGTTGTTGATTTTAAAATAATTACTTTAATAATATACTTTCATATGGAGTTGTGAAATTTTGGGGCTTCTTTTTGAAAATCTTGATGAAATTTGCAATTTTTGTGATGGATCTTCGCTGAGTGCTTGCTTTGTTGTCTTACTCAGCTTCTGTAGTCATTTGTTCTAAACAAGTATTATAGATTTTGTTGGAGTTTTTTCGTGATTCTATTTATTTTTTTAAAAACAAATAAAACAACTTCATTAAAAATTTGATTGTAAAACATTACTGATCTAATTTTTTGCAACTATTTGTACCTCAATTTCCTTTAAAATCTATTTTTCCTTCGGGCACTCGATTACCAAATTTGTCACCACTTATTTAAACAGATATCTATCAATGAAACTTCAGATATCCCTGGACGAATTCGGGTTATCCTATGGCTTTTCGGCTAATAAAAAATTGGTAATAATATTACCACAAACTCTTAACAACGCTATACCTAATTTTTTGGTTTTATTAACCAAAATTATGTTGTTGTTTTTTTTTCAGAAATGTCATTTCCATACAGTACGGTAACTAGAATTATTTTCTCCGTGTAGTATTCATGCAAATATCCATGCATCCGTATTATCAGTAATAAAAATTAATCTTTTTTGCAGAACCGAGAGGTGTACGTGCCGCAAATGCAACAGGTTCTACTGTTCAAGTTTGCTGGACTCGCCCAGAATATGGCCAAGTCTTGGGATACATTGTTAAGTACAGGGAAGTTCAGAATCCTCACGGGGCGCCCTCTTTTCTAAACATAACCTCTGATGCAACATCGAAATGCTCAACGCTTGTTGAATTGAAACCCTGGACAGATTATGAGTTTCGTGTGTACGGCTGGAATAGATTCGAAACTGGTCAAGGAAGTACTGTGGGCAGCTTTGGAACTAGACCTGATTGTAAGTATTGTTTTGTTTATTGTATTTTTATGTTATTTGAGGGACCTTTAATCTGTCAATGGGCGCTCTATAGCACAGTCCATTGTATTAGGTTTGCAAAAGTTCATATGCGATCACAATTGCGTCAAACAATGTATAAATTTGCAGTTTTGATTAAACTGGTTGTAAAAGAAACTGGCCATTAAGAGTTTCGTAAAAGCATTGTAAGCAGCTGATTTAACAACTGAAGTTCATGCAAAACTTAAGTATTTGGTCTCCTAACAGCTCTAATACCAATCTGACAAAAATGTACAAGCAGCAACAGGATTTGTTAGATGCATTCTGGAGAAAATTGTCTAAAGACTATTTATTACAATTAAGATCATTTCATCAAGTTCGAAACTCTCATGTTCATGTTGAAAATGTTGCGTTGCTTCACGAAGATATAAGACCAAGAAGTGTGGAGACGAACTCTGGTTACTAATTAAAGGATGGAAAAGTTCGCAATTGTACTTAACGTTCTGATGACAAGGAGATATCTCACCCTGTTCAAACCTGTTATCTCTTTAGAGGTTGACCAGAGAGGCGAGGATGTTCGAAACGCAAGTGCATAACCTGCTTTTCTATGTTTATTTCATTTAGTTTACTTCTCTTATCTTTCTTGTTTTGGCAACACTTTTAGATACCTTTTTGTGCTTGTTGACAGTTTGCATGATTAAAGTTTTGTTCCATATTAGGTTTAAAGAGTGTTGTATATAATTAAGAACACATAGGCTTATGTACAATACACAGTGGATTAGCCTTCTACTTTGCTTAATAGTGAAGCACAAAGATAAAAAGAAATTTTCATTGGAGTCAAGTTCAAATTTAAAACATGAGCCCAGGAAGCATTTTTAAGTTAGCGGATAGCAACTAATTTTAGGAATCTGTTGGTCGGGATCTTTTATCTGAAGTTGGCTCTCTTCAATATTACTGTTGTTGTTGCTTTTTTAGTGTCAATTTTTATTTTGACTTTTTTTTATTTTAAAGGAAAAGTATCTGGTATTTACTCTTTTTTATTTTTCATTACAAAACAACTTATATGACTTTTTTTTGCATGCTAATTTTCTTGACGCTGTGATTCTTTATACTTTTATTGAGCATGATTTTCTTTATTTTTTTAATAGGATTCAAATAGGATTTAATAGGATATCAGATATCTTGTACCATTTCCAGCATTTTTTTAACAGACTAAATAAATTTTATAATCTTCATAAAACACTTAAGAAAAAATAAAGCATTTTAGATACGATAAATTAATTATTCGATGAATAAAAAGTTATTTCACATTTAAAACAAATATATTATATGAAAATTTTATGAAATTGGTTAAGCAAATCAAATACGTTTACATTATAAGCTATTTAAAAATCCTCTCAAACATGCATTCAAAATAAGCCGAAGTGAAAAACGGAATGATTAACCTTAAATATAATTTATTTAATATAATGCAATTTAATAGAGATTAAATAAAATCAATAAAAAGTGATTAGGAAACAAAAATACAATATGTAAATTTATGAGGTTGCATAAGGCTAATAATATGATTTAATATAAAATTTAATCTATTTATAAATTGCATCTTCTATCTAAGTTTTAAAATATATGGCTTTTTTTATTCGAAATAAATTCAATTAGTTCTAAGAAATCCATAAAACTTTTCAGTAATCAGAAAATTTCTAATTGTATTATGAACAATACTTTTGAATACAACTACTATCTTCTGAAAATAAATGTAAAGCACTAACAAATATTTCTTAATAAACTTTCAGCCTCAAATATTTCCCGAACCTGTCCTACTGTCAGATCAATGATTAATCATTTTCAGGAATTTTACCATCATCAATTCTTTCTTAAAAAAAAAGGTATGAAAAGTTTTTCTAAAAATAGAAATGAATAACGGAGAATTGGAAAATAATTTACTTAATTTAAGAAGAATGTTTAATTTTCTTTCTGCAAAACTCATTAATCATTTTTTTCCTGATTATTTTTCTTTTCTTAGAAAGTTTCAATAAATATAAAGTAAAAATTAAAAATATTCACAAAAAAATATGAGTGATTTTTTTTAATAAAAAAAACAAAGCATTTATCAAATTTTAAGTTCCGCATCTTTTTAAGAGAAAGTAATCATTACGAAAGCTTCATTCAAAATCTATTAACAAATAGTTACACTTTGCATTAATAAAAATGTAAAGTAATTGTCATTATATTTATTTTATACTTTTTAAAAAAAAATACTTTTTATAAGTTTTTAAACTTAAAAAAAGAATATATATATATATATATATATATATATATATAAATATATTTAGAATTAATTTTAACCGTGCTTTAGATGCGAAATATTGAAAATTTAAAACTTAAAAAACAGTAAATGCATATTACAATAATTTAATCAACGTCAAATTCTAATTGATCCAATGATAAGGAACTCATACTTTTAAATATTTTATTGCTTTACATACAAATACAATATAGCATAATAAGGCTAGAAAGATCTGCTAATGCTTTAGAACTTTCTTAATATTAATATAATTAATATTTTATAATTAATAATTTATTTTGTTTTAAAATAAAAATATATTTGCCTTATCTTAGAAAATTTATCTATTAGCCTTATCTTATTTGCCTTATCTTTTAAATATATTTGCCTTATCTTAGGTACATATTACCTTAAAAACATTATTATTATTAAACAGATTTCTCTAAGAATTACATTCATTAAATTTCATTTCTTTAATTCAATGATTATTTTCGCACAAATGGCTAAAAAGACTTCCAAAAGAATATTTTAACCATATATTAATAAGAAAGATTTAAAAGATTCTCTACTTTTTGAGAAAGCAAAGCTGATATCAGTCGCGTATCACTTAAGAAACACTTTTTACGAACTAAGATGTTCAAAACAATTTATAATTTAAAAGAAAATGGCTTTTTGCAATCCATCTATTATTATGCAATAGATGGTTGCCACCATAAGCTTTATCTTATAAATATCTCCCAAAAAATTAAGTGAACATGATTCACTGAAAATTATGGTAAAATAACTGGCAGCTGTCTGTCCATCCGATTAACCGTAAAGTTTACGGTAAAGAGCATTTTTTTTCCTTTATGGTTTTGAAACCATTTATAAAAAGTATGGTTATAAAACGATGAATATAAAACTATACGGTTTTTTAACCATTTGCAACTAGCATTTTTCAAAACCGTAAAAAAAATAATTATCTAACTAGGCATAGGAGCTCGGTTTTTCGTAATATAATGGTAATTAGAGAGTACCGGACACTGGAAATTCTCCATGTGGTGAAGGATATTGAAGAAATATTGTGGTGTCATTACTAGGATTCGAACTCCAGTTCTGCCGGCCATGAGATTGACAGATAAGCCCGCTCGGCTATCATATGTACGACGTTGCATAGAACTAAGTAGCTTCATTAGGTGGTTCTAATTGGTGAGATAAAATTCTGGTTGTTTAACCGTAATAGATGAGAGCAGTCAATAAACAGTTTTTCTCTAACAGTTTGATTACCATTTTATTTATGGTAATTTGACTGTTTTGATTAAATATGGTAAAATAACCATTCAACAAATTGTTATTTAACCATTTTTTCCGAGAAATTTCTAACAGTGTTGTTTGAGATTTGAGTTGTCTATTCATCATGAATTGTGCTTGAATTATGACAAGCAAATCTTTAAATTAATCAATCAATTCTATAATCATTTTAAAAAATCCGCTGCTTTAGGAACAAAACTATTTCCAGATCTGAAATCATCCGAATTAGGCAAGATCAGGAATTTGTATAAATGCAACAAAAGATTCGTTCATCAGTATTATAAAATTTTTTAAATAACACTATTAGCAAATTATTGACCAAATTAAATTAAGATTAGATAATGCTTTTACTAATTTAAGCTGCAATGGTTCTGAAAATTTATCATTGTTTCCTAAATTACAATTCATATTAATCTTCATTAAAAAAACTAATCACAATAATTCGCTTTTAAACTTGCTATTTGAATATTTCATTTGAAAAAGACACTTATTGGCTAGTTTTCTTTTTTTTTATTCTATGCAAAGTCTATTGTACTTTAAAAATAAATTTTGCAAAGAATAAATCTTTGAAAGCCAAGCTGATATTTTGGTATAAAATAAAATGATATAATATACAATGCTCTATAAGTATTTCTGGGAAACTTCTTAAAATATATTCCACGAATTTTTTTTTTCTTTCTTAAGAAAATCAATCGCGAAATAGGAATTTTCATACAAAATATAGTTCATTTTTTGCTTTTGCTTTTTTTTTTACTCTAGTTCCAGGGTTACGTTCATATCAGATTCGTAATCCGAGAAAAAATATTCAAATCATTTGTTGAAGTATATGAATATTTAATGCTGAAAAAGTAGTTTTCAGAAATGGGAAATCTTGCCAAGTTTGATATTATCCTAGATAATATGGGAAGCCATAAATAATTTTCCTCATTTTTACATAACTAGTGCAGAAACTTTTTTATAAAAAAAAAGCTAATGCGAAATATGTCTCTAATATAAAGCAAGTTTCAAAGAAAAGCTCTATGAGTTGCAATCAAAATTGAAAATTCTGAAATAAGTTATTTCTATGTCAAAAATTTATTTCATTATCAAACTAAAAATTATTATCACAAATAATATAAAACAAATATTATATGATTGCGTCAATAATGATAAAATTCATTAATTTCAGGCAGTTTTCGTTCATAAAGTTTTATGTTTTAATAGTTATGGTATTAATTGAAAATTCCGACTTTTTGCGAATGACGTTATTTATGAAGTTTATTCCTATGAGCCTAAAAAGCGTATTGAAAAGTGATGTTTGAGCTTAGTTTCTGCATTTTAATTAAGGAATTATTTTCATTAATTACTTATGAATTAAACCATAATCACGTCGCAAATTATAATCTTTCATGCGTTTTTTAATATTTTTACCTTAACTGTTAATCTTAAT